GGCGCAGCATGGAGGAAATGCATCATCGCGTGGAGAATTTGGTGCAGGAGCGCTCCGCGACCATCATACGTTCCTCATGGGAAAAATGCTGCAACGAGGTGGCGGATGCATTTGAATCTTTCTCACTGAAGGCTTGTAGTGGCGGTGGCGATGTCTCTCGAATCAAAATGTCAACGTCCAGTTTAATCCACGGTGGCTCCATGCGGCCACGTGCAGGAGTAAGAGCGCTACTGAATGGACGAGATGCCACATCCATACGTATTCTGAACAAAATTGCTGGCTTCGCGAATATCGTTGATACACAACCACCATTGCAGTGGATAAGGTGCTTTGCTGCCCATGTTGCGGATGACGCCCCGTCTGTTACAGATGACATTGCCCTTCTTTGGACGACGGTGGAGCAGATTGTGCAGCCAATCCTACAACTTGGCTCTGCCAGCACAACCCTGACGTTTGTTGCCTCCAGCCGACACATGATAGAGCGGAAGGCGCTCATTACTGTGCTGTCACGCATACTTAAGGTGGAACCTGAGAGGTTTGGTGAATTGGAGAATATGCATGCCACACGTGTTGTCAGTATTTTGGAGCGATACACATCATCTTCGAATCCGTGGGCACACATCTACACAGCCATGCGCTGTGGCCGTTATGACGTTGCTGCCATGGTTGCCAACAATGTAGGGCTCCGTTCGGTGGAAAAAAAACTTGAGGAATACGCCAACGCACACATGACAAGGCGCAGCACGTTACCTCCCGCAGTTGAACTGCGCCCGCTGTATGAAGAGGAGGATACTCGTTTGGATCCTTATCGACAGATTGTCCTATTTCTTTTGTTACTCGGGAATACGGGAGAGAACAGTGAAGTGGTCTTGTCAACCGTTGCATCACTTTCCTCAAAGGTTGCACGATCTCTCGAGGACACATTGTGGATCCGTCTTTTCTGTGTGCGCTCTATTGAGGTGCGAGGCAACAATAAAGTCCAGTCCCTCACAGAGATGCAACGTCTGCTTCTGGATGACATGCAGGACCTTGTGGAATTGGTTCGTGGCGATGTAGTGCGTTTGGCGTCGCTGTTGATTCACGCGCTACTTCCCTCTTCTGGGTTGCGGCTTCTTATTGAGGGTGACAGCACCTACGTGGATGGCATTCACCTCGCCATGTGCTTTCACAACTCGCAGCTCTTGCCATGCGATGACGTGGAGGTGCCAATCGACCTCGGTCGGCTCCTTCCACAGTACTGCTCACTTGTCCTACTTGACGTTGACAAACGCCATGCCCGCATTGCGTATGCAGGGGCGGCCGTGTTTCGCTACTTTCTGCGGACAAACCTCGTCGACGTCTTTGTTGAGTACTGCGGAAATGAGCTGGTTTGTGCGAAGCTTTTTGGGCACCGCGGGGGCAGTCGTGTAGGCGACGACGGTATCCTTCTGCAAGAGACCCCATCCACAGAGCTCCTGGAGGCAATGGAGCGTGTGGCGGAAGCGGGTGCGGCGCGTGGCCAGACGGAACTTGCGGTGCATGTCTTCTCCGTGTTGGAGCGTGCCGCCGCGCTCGTGAGGGATGAGGCGCGTGCAAATTATGCACTGAGTCGGGCTCTTCAGATTATCTGTCCAGCACTGTCACATGCATTTCAACAGCAAGCATCCAGGGAGAGCACATGTCTTTTTATGCACGCCGCCGAACTGCAGGAGCGAGTCGCATGTTCCGAGCGTGTGATCCCCCATGCATACGCGGAGGCCTTTCAGCTACTTTGCACGATGAGTGAATTCTTTGTGAGTGCCGCGCGCGGCGAGGTGGAGGTCGCCCTTCGGTGCTTTTGGAGTCTCCCTTTTGTTCCAACCGCTCCAGATGACATTGAGCGCTGCGCCGAAATTTTTGACTCGGCGCCCGAGTCCGTGGCAACGGCCGCCCCGCCGATTGTACTGCTCGCTATGCAAAACATGTTAAAACTTGCAGAGGTACTCAAGACAAGAGGACAGACGAACGACGCGACGCAAATAAAGCGGCGAGCGCAGACCGTAACAATGTGGGTGCGCCGCTGGAAAAGACACGTGGCCCGAAGTCTTATTGATGAATTGGCATCCCTAGAAGAGCTGTTTGCACTCTGAAATTGAGGCGAAAGAACTGTAATGACTGATTGAAGGGTGTGCAAAAAGGGAGGGGAAGGGAGAAAAAAGGGGAAAGCGAGATCCTGTTGTGGTGCATGTTGGCATATGCAATGACATGCTTACAGGGGGGGAATGTAAAGAGGGGACTTAAGAAATATAAATATGTCAGTCGTTTCCAACGCATCAACCCTGTTTCCTGTACTTATTCTTTCTTATGTGTACACATGCATGCGTATTCATTGCTCATTTTTTTTTTATCTCCAGACCTATTAACCCTTTAGATGTGCATACCGCACAGTCCTAAGATCTTTTTTTTACTGCTACTCTTGTGGCGGACGCCTTTTTTTTTTTTTTTTTTCTTTTTAACTCCCTCTATTTGTTTTGCACTCTTTGTCTGTTGATGATGTCCAAACGTACCATGACACTCTTTTCGCTCCGTGTTGTTCTTCCTCTTCTCCTTTTTCCCTTTGTTGGTCTTGTCTTCTTTTCACGGCATACCCGTTAATAATGGCCAAGTTTTTTTTGGTTCCCTGTAGACTCCAATGGAGAAGCAGTTGGATATTATCGCGTCTGATTTTGCGGCGCTCTACCATGAGATGGTTAAACATCTTGTTCTGACACCACATGGGCTCAACATGGATGCGTTCCAGGCCGTGTTTGACCGCATGCACGTGGAGTACCTGCACTACGCCGGGTCAAGCACCACGCAACCGTTCTACATGGATGTTATTGAGAATGTGCTTCAGCTTGCCGCCGCGTATCTATCGCTGCCGACAGATGTGAGCCCCAATAGTCGCGCATTTGGTTTGTACCTTGTATTCTTCCTTTATTCGACACAGCCATGCATCGAGTCGTCACCAGTGAGTGTGCGGATAGCGCTTGGGACACTGCAGAGCTACTTGGATGATATTGACGATACTGCGGGGGCACAGCAAACTGTTTTCTCTCAATTAGGGCGTCGTGTGACGGAAGACGAGAGACGAATACTTCTCGCCCTCCACCAAGCACGGGCGTGGCATGTCATGCCCTTTGTTGACGTCTCATTGCATCTGCAGGCATTACTGAAGGCGCACGATTCTGAGGGCGTGCCGCTTGTAATGAGTGCTGCCACCAAGCGGCCGCAAGTTTTAAGTACAGTTAAGACTGATGGAGCCCTATCAAAGGAGTTAGAGGCATACGAAGCGTTGAAGCGGCGCTTGGGCCTTGATGATGTCTTCGGGATGAGATGAAATAAATTTTTGTTTTCTACTTGTTAGGGGATTTATACTTTGTGCTCTTTTATTCTTCTCCCTTATGCATCCATGTGTACGCATATTTGTTTTTCTTTCCTGTGTTTCTTTCATCTATTGGATTACTACCCTCTGATACCGCTCCAGCTGAGCACCCTGCATTCATAAGCGCAAGGAAGAGAGGGGAGGGAGGGAGGGAGAGAAAGGAGGAAATGAATCCCCTTTTCTGTCGCCAGTGCACAACTTGTATGTTGCGGAATGCGTTGAATTGTATTCGACTTTCCTCCCGCCATTATGCCATCAAATCCACCGGTGCCTCACGTAAAGGTTCACTGGAACTTGTCGGTGTTTTGTGCGGTGGTGTGGGCCCTTCCACCCACGGCATGGATGAGGTTCCAGGGGAAATGAAAGAGGGGGAGATTAGACATCGGAAGAAGGAGGTTTCCAGTGGCGATGGCAGCGGGGCCAATGGCTCCCCGTACATGGTTCAGATCTCTGATAGGTACGGCATGCCAGCGGAGCTCCCAGCCGGGGCGTCACAGTCGTTTGAGGAGTTGGAGACATTGTGCCCCAGCGACACGCTTCGTGAGCAGCTGCAGCTATTACGGGCCTCGCGACGCTGGGAAACCTTGACGGTGGTGCAGCGGGCTGTCATCCCTTTGATTTTGGATCATCGCGATGTCCTCTGCATTGCACCAACAGCGACAGGTAAGACTTTTTGTTACGTGTTTCCCTCCATGTTGCGTTTAGTTCTACATGCGAAGGGACTTGAGGCTGCCGTTGCTGACAGCAGCGAAAACGAGTTAAGCCGGCCCAATGTTGAGAAGTTGCTGAAAGACAAGATTGCGCGGGGGGAGATTTGTCGTTACTGTGAACTCGGTATCGCAGATGTGAAGGTGTGTCCCATGACAGGCACCCCGCACCCGCCCGTGCCAGAGCTGCTGGACAAGCAGCTGCGAGGAGCGATGTGGCTCAATGAGCTGACCTCAGTAGCGGAGCCTCTCGTGCTGATTCTCGTACCCACGTCTCAGTTGGCGATGCAGGTGCATCAATTATGTACCCAGCTGCACGTCGACTTTCGAGTCAAGTTTCTCGTGCGTGCCTCCAGTGCGGAAGAACAAAAACGTCATCTGAATGCGTTGGAGGGCTGTGATGTGCTCATTACCACACCAGAGACTATGCTGCCCGCTCTCTACAAGCGCAAACTGAGTTTGAGGCGCGTCAAGATGCTTGTGATGGATGAAGTGGACGACTTGGTCTCCGTGAACCACTTTGAGAAAGTGAAGATTATTCTCGGTGCCCTCCCCAAAGGGCATGATCGGCCCCAGCGACTTTTGTTCGGCGCCTCACTGCCTCCGGTGGCGTATCAAATGGTGAGGGAACAGATGTTGCTGCCATCCCATCGTTTTGTTCTCGCTGACGTCAAAACGGACAAACTTGGGCACGCGCTTGTGGACGGTTGTTCGACCGCTAGTGCAGCCATCACCCACGTTGTGTTCATGGTGTCACAGGTAGAGAAGATTAGCAAGCTGGCCTGGCTGTACAGCACGGGTAAGCTCCGTCCTGACCAGCGCACCCTCATCTTTTGCAACTCGCGTCACAATGTGGCTTATGTCGCTGAGCAGCTGCAGAAACTCGTGCCGGATCTGCACGTCACGACCCTCACCTCCCGCTCCTCAGCCACGGGGAAGATGGGAACTCTAAAACTTTTCCGAAGCGGCGTCTCCACATGCCTGGTGTGCACAGACATACTCAGTCGTGGGATTGACTTCCATAACGTTGTTTACGTCGTTCACTATGACACTCCGCTGGAGTTTGACACTTGGGTGCACCGCAGTGGACGCTGTGGCCGGCACGGAGTGTCCGGATACTGCTATACATTTTTCCAGCCAGAAAGCGTCAAGCTGGCAAAGCCGTTGGTGGCACATCTGCGGCAAACGCAGCAGCTGATTCCACCAAAGCTGCAGGAATACGCGAATCAGTCACTTGTTGACACGTTCAAGAGCTCCTTGTTTTACCACCCAACACGGCCGTACCGTTCAGGCGATCCACAGCGTCAACACCCTGTGATGGGCCGTGGAATGCCGCGCTTCCCTGACTACAAGCAGGAGCGATTAAATAAAAACTTTCGACCCCTTTAATGTTGGTGAGGAGGGAAATGAGGATTCGGGGATCGTTCCTTTCCCTGTATTGCAGGCGTGCATGCATAAATGTGTGTATCACCCGTTAGCGGGATCCACTCGCTGGCGCAGCTCGGCAAGAAATACAGTTCTCTCGTAGGTATACAAAGGGAGGTGGATGTTGTTGATGGCTCCACTTCCATTTGCGCCATCAGCGGCACTCATGAAAATGCACTGACGTTGTTATGGGGCCTTTCTTTTTTTTTTTTTTGTGTGTAGACTTTTGGAAAGGAGAAGTTTCTGAAGATAATAAGGAAAAAAGAGGGGGACGATGTCGTTTTGATTTGCCGCACGTTATAATTTGCCATTGGGCTCTGTGGTCCTGGTGTTGCTGCTTTGAGTTCCTTTGGGAAAGAAAGCAAGAGAGCTTGTTTTAACGGACACGTTTTCTCGGTCATGCCAAAAATTCCACCTCAATTCATATGCGTTTTTGTCTCGTTGCATCATGTTAGAATAAAATTGGAGGTTGTGATCTCTTCTTCACATATCGTTTCCGCTCTTACTCTCTCCCTGTTTCTGTGTCTATTTGCTGAGAGGCTTTTTCTCCTTTTGGATTGAGGCTACCTTGTGGTTGCTTTCATTTCTTTTTTTTTTTTTTTTTTTTGTCTTGCATTCTCTTCTTTTTTTTTTTTTTACGCCGGCAACTGCTTGTTGTTGTTTTGCAGTAACATTTGTCTTTTTCTAGGGGCCTATTGCTAACATCCATCGCGTCAATAGCAGAGTGTGGGAAGAGGAAAATAAAATGCCGCAGGTGAGTGCAGAGAAGGCCGTCGGTGCGGGTATGACGGATGTGGTGCGCATTGACGGTGTGTACTACGACACAATGAAGCTTGCCGCTATTCATCCGGGCGGTCCCATGATGATTAAAATGGCCAATGGCACCGATGCCACACGCATATTTGTCAGCTACCACCGCCGGCGGTTCCCCCATACAAAGTACAAGCAAATGCAAGTGGCGGCAGCCGAAGTGAAGTGTGAACTGATCCCCGAAGAAGACACGCCCAACTTTGATTTGTACTTGGAGCTTTGTGAAAGAGTGCGGCCGATTCTGAGGCCCACGAATGGATTTGCTCCCTGGTATTACTTCATTAAGGCTGCGGTGTGGTGCCTACTTTTGTTGACCCTGGACTTGTACGCCGTCTTCGCATGGCGTCCACATCCCCTAACGCTTCTTCAATCACTCGCCATGGCAATGGTGGGGTTGAATGTGCAGCATGATGCCAATCACGGGGCACTGAGTCGGAACCCTGTCGTCAACAGAGTTTTTGGTCTGATGCAAGACCTACTGGGGGGCAGTTCTATGAGCTGGATTATTCATCATGACTTTATTCATCACATCTACACCAATGATCCGCATCGTGATCTTGATTTGGAAATTCCTTTGCTGAGGCTGCACCGTTTTGTTCCCAAGCGCTATTACTATGGTCTTCAGCATTTTTACTTCCTGTTCCTTGAAGCCGTCTTTGGGCCTATTCATGTGGCTTCAAATTTTTTGTTTCTGTGGTCTGGGCCGCAGAAGAGGCTTTTGTTACTCCGCGATGAGTGGAGACTTAGCTGTCTCCTGACGACAATACCTCTTTTACGTTTAGCATTTAATTTTCTGCATGCCCCCAGCATATTTGATGCATTGTTGGGGTCATTTTTTCAGTACATCTTGGGTGGGATGTATCTTGCTTTCTTTTTCCTGGTTTCCCACAACTTTGCCGGGGTGAAGAAGCAAGGAACCAGTGACGGTGAGTGCTTTCTCAGAGCTCAGGTGGAGACAAGCAGCAGTGTGGGTGGGTGGTGGCTGGGCCACATAAATGGTGGCCTGAACTACCAGATTGAGCACCACCTTTTCCCACGTGTTCATCACAGCTATTACCACTACATTGCTCCCATCGTAAAGGACTTTTGTTTAAAGCATGGTGTTTCTTACATTTATTTTAATACCCTATGGGATAATGTGGCCAGTACCGTGAAACATCTGAACACTTATGGGCATGGCAAGGAAGAGGAGCTGGCAGGTAAAAAATAAGGCGGGGGCAAATAGCTAAGTGAGAGAAGGAAATGTGTCTACATGCATCAGGGCATATCGTCGTGATTTGTGGTAGAAAAAGGAAACGTCTCAGCAGACGAAGAAATGACGCATGTTGATTTGCACTTTTTTTCTTTTCCATTTAATTCACTGAGCGGATCGTTTTGAATTATAAATGCAGATTCCTACCTTTCTTCTTTTCTTTTTCTTTTTCTTTCCTTCTCTCCCTTGTTTTTTATGTATTCAAATAATTACGTCATAATTTATCTGGAGGGAAAGCCGACCCCCCGGGAGTATCAGCCGGTGTGGGTGAAATGGCGAGCAACAACACAAAAAAAGAAGAAATGTCCTATTTGGCTCTGTCTGTGTTGTGCTTCCATTCCCACTCTCCCATATATGTCTTATCTCGCGGCTTACAATATGTATTTGACTTTATGACTCTCCATTGCGTGGAAAACCGGTTAAGTGATCTCCATCTTGGCCTCTCCGTCACCCTTCTCTCCTTCTCTCTCCACCCTCTCCCTCTGCACCTCATGATAATAATAATAATAATAATAATGCAGGGAAAGGGTTTACTCTCGTTCTTGTTGTTTTTATTTATACGTAAACAAATTATTTAAAAAAGGGAATAAATAAATTTATTATTATTATTACTATTATTTCTTCTACTGGTGGAATGCCGACTGTTCGCGTGCAGGGTGGTCGCAACGTGCAATACACGGAGGAGGCCATAACAGCCAAATACGTGTACCGCACGACGCGCGTCAAGAAGGAATCCGAGGAGGAGGTGATTGTGGGGCCGGTAAACGTTGCGTTGCGATTTCGCACACTTCGAAAAAGAGCGAAATGTGGTCTCATGATGGTGGGGTGGGGCGGGAACAATGGATCAACCGTGACAGCGGGTATTCTGGCCAACAAGCATGGATTGACGTGGCGCACAAAGAAGGGGGTTTTGCATCCAAACTATTTTGGATCCATCACGCAGTCCAGCACGCTGAATTTGGGGATGACAAGTGACATGAAGGAGGTGTTTGTACCGCTGAAGGATGTTGTGCCGATGATAAACCCGAATGATCTCGCCATTGGTGGGTGGGATTGCAGTGGAATGAACCTTGTCGATGCGATGCACCGTGCTCAGGTGTTGGATGTTGCTCTCCAGGATGCACTGTATGAATACATGCGGGACATGAAGCCCTTGCCTGCCGTTTTTGACCTGGATTTTGTGGCGGAAAATCAGCAGGAGCGTGCCGATAACATTTTATCCGTGCAACACAAGTGGGAGGCAGTGGAGAAGCTGCGGTCCGACATCCGCACATTTAAGAAGGTGCATGAGCTGGACAAAGTCATTGTACTCTGGACAGCCAACACCGAGCGCTTCTCCGATCACACTAAAGGCGTACACGACACGGCGGACAACCTGCTGGCCGCGGTAAAGCGCAACGAGAAGGAAATTGCGCCATCCGCACTCTACGCAATGGCTGCCATACTGGAGGGTTGCAGTTACATTAACGGTGCGCCCCAGAACACGCTGTGCCCGGGCCTTGTTGACCTTGCACGTCGACATGGTGTTTTTGTTGGAGGGGACGACTTTAAGAGTGGGCAAACTAAAATCAAAAGCGCGTTGGTGGAATTTTTTGTTGCGGCTGGTATCAAGCCAGAGTGCATTGCGAGCTACAATCACCTTGGAAACAACGATGGGCATAACTTGGCTGCGCCGAAGCAGTTCCGCTCAAAGGAGATTACAAAGAGCAGTGTGGTGGATGACATGGTGGCGTCGAATAAATTGCTCTATCCTCCTGGCAGCAAGGGACCTGACCACTGTATTGTCATCAAGTACATGCCATACGTGGGCGACAGCAAGCGTGCCATGGATGAGTACACGTTTTCTATATTTATGGGTGGGTCACAAACGGTGGTGCTGCACAACACGTGTCAAGACTCTCTGTTGGCAGCGCCGCTTATTATTGATCTTGTGGTCTTGACGGAGCTAATGGAACGAGTCTTTGTAAAGATAGAAGATGGGGAATGTGAGGAATGTGATGGCACTTCGGAGTCATCGTATGTACAAATGGATACAGTGCTGTCGATTTTGTCGTATCTCCTAAAGGCGCCATGTGTACCCGAGGGCACACCCGTGGTGAATGCATTGAATCGACAGAAACAAGCCATTGATAATTTGCTACGCGCTCTTGTGGGTCTTCCGCCGGATAACAACATGCTGCTGGAGTGCAGCCTCCCTTCCTTGCGCGGCATGAGTCAACAGTAAGCATCACGGAGAGAAGGAAGCGGTGGGCACAGCGTCTTTTTTAACGTTTGTTTGCTTGTTTGTTTGTTTCTTTTTGTTTTTATTTTTATTTTTATTTCTTTTTTTTTTTGGGGGGGGGGGGGGGGGAGGAGGAGGGAGGAGGAGAAGAAGGAGCCTCCCGAACCGCATGAGGGCTCTTATGTCTCTGGCTTCCCATGCATTTGGATCGTGACGTGTCACAGAGCACAGACGCATGCACACGGAATAGAGAAAGAGGAGGAGGGGATGACATTTCATTATTGCGTCGTCTTCCTCCCTCCCCAACAGCAAACAGGCAGGAAATACTCATTTTTTACGTTTTACCGTCTATTCTGTTTATCGCAGGATTCCGTGCGGCCTTTTCCTTTGACGAGCGGAGAATTTTTTAATGGAAACAATTTTTCATGAGGCGGCGCGTTATCATTTATTTTTGTTGTTTTTTACTTCGCTACTTGTACGCTGCTTAAAAATATAGCTGTAGGAACGTGGCATGTTCCATTTTTCTCTTGTGAATAAATTGAGGTCTTTATTTTTATTTATTCGTATAGACCATTTTGATCGTGTATTTTTCATAATTTCTCCGGAGTGTTGAGGAAACACGAACTGAAGCCGAAAAAAAAAAAAAAAAAAAAAAAAAAAGAAAAGAAAAAAAAAACGGAATTCATAAGCAACGAAAGAGGTCTTATATCGTTGAACCCTATGATACATTTCTCCCCGTGTGTGTGTGTGTGTGTGTGTTTTCCAAGAGCCTGTGAAAGCACATGTGACCCAGCCCTCACCGTTCCACGTGGGCGGCGGGTGAAAGGCGCCTTCAGTATTTTCTTCCCCCATACCCACCCCCTTTTTTCTCGCTAATTAATGATGCTTTTCAAAAAAATGAGGATTCGTCTTGGATTCTCTATTGAGCAAAAAAAAAAAAAAATTTTTTTTATTATGGATGTGGGGAAGAGATAAGGAGAATAAGGAGAAAACGAAATTTGTTTACTTTCTTATCTTTATATATTATAGGGGGGGGGAGGGGGAAAAAAAGGCAATAGAATGTGTGGGAAAGGAAGGAGGGGCGAGGAAAAGGCCGGAGTTGTGAATGCTGCGTGGGTGAAGGAGCACGAAAAGGTGATTCAAGGAGAAGAAGGGGACGCATACGTGCATGTATTTATTCTTTCACCTTTGCTGAATGCAATGTCTGTCGCCACCACATCCCTGCGTCCTTTATGATTGAGACACACGCAAACACACACCACCTCTCTACTCATTTCATTTCATGTGTCTCTTCGTCCTTGCAAGCCTTCTTGTTGTTGTTTTTGTACTGCTGGATTTTTCTGTCTCCTCTTTTCTTCTCCCTATGGCTCTTTATTGCAGGATATTTGGACTCACTCAGGGAGGTTGGAAGACCGGCGAACGTCTTTCTCTTCCCATTAAACGTAAATAAGCTTAAACGACAAATTCTTAGCTTCCCTCGCAGGAACTCCGCTTCAGGCGCAGTGCAGTGAAGTTCCACGCGAGTAAGTATTCAAAAGGAACAATTAACAAACAAACAAACACATCAAATAAAAGAGAAGGGAAAAAAAGATGCCAATGCGTGAAGATTACCCCCGCTACCCACGGGACGTCAGGGAGAAGCAAATTGTTTCCCGGCCGGCACGTGAAAGAAGATTGGCAGAATTGCACCTCACCGCCTTCCCAAATGTCTTGAATGAGAGCGCAATGGCGGCACCCGACACTGAACATCCACTGAAGGAAAAGAAGAAGGGGAAGAAGAACGATGAAATGAATGCCGCAAAAGTGGTGATGGAGGAGAGGGCAGTTGCACCCATGACAACCAACCAGCTCTTGGCACGCATGGTGGAGATGGCGTGGGAGGAGAAACACAAAAATGCGGCATCCGGCGAGAAGCAGTCGCTGACAGCTCCCGACGGACGCTTCAGGCCCCACAATGTCTCCTTCGATCGCAGCTCGACATACCGCCTGGATTACTGCAACAAGGAAGTGCCTGGCTTCCATGAGCGAGTGCGTGTTATTCCGGATTACACAAAAGATTGGACCGAAACAGACAAGTCAAACATTGAAAATGCAAAAAAGCTCCCCTACCTGACGATGCCCGAAAGTTTGCTTAAGAAGCGTCCGACCGTATACCGACATGATTACACCCCAAGCGCGGGCAGAGATGACTACCGGACTCTCCCGTACAATACAAACCTGCAGGACCTCAGCACCTCCTATGCGTACTCTGCCTACTCTCCGGAGGACCCTGCACGTGTGATAAAGTACGACAAGGCGGTCGCCTCCTGCCGTAGCCCTCGTTGTGTGTTGTGGAAAACATTCAGTCCGCGGGGGTCTTTCATGGTCAAAAGGCACACAGAATCGACTGCCGAGGAGTTACAACGATTGCGAGAGCTTCGGCGTCTTCAATTGTCGAAGTCAAGCGATAGTAGCACCTCGCCAAGGAAAAGCCCAACGGAAGTTTCAACTTTGACGAAGAGGACGATTGTTATACCAGGGATGCGAGGAATGGGTTATCGTCAGGCACCAAAAGAAGGTAAGGACTACATTTATCTTCCTCGGGATCACTTCTGCCATCAGGTGGTCTATGACTACTAACGCGGAGGTATATATATATACATATACTTTCTGCAATCAGGTTGACCGAGGGAAAAATAACAAACAAAAGGCCGAAATAGACTTGCTGGAATTATGGAGAGAAGGAGAGAGACGGCACCACATCCGAGTGAATCATTTACATAGATGTATACTAAATGTTGTGCATGTATTCTAGAAAAATAATTTTTGATGGCATGATGTTCCTTGTATCCGATTTTGTATTTCTTTGGTTCTTTTGGTATTACATGTATATAGAAGTAAGCGCATATGTATACATGTTATTTTATTTCTTTTTGCCATCTTTGAATATTTGTTCTTTGCAGGAAAAGAAGAAAAAAAATTCAATAAAATTTTCTTTTTCAGGTCCGTAATGACGACGGGGAAGTCACACGACTCAGGGGCAACACGCGTCTGTTGGCAGCGGATGCTAACGAATGAATTTAGAGACAACCCTGATGAGCGTCTCAAGCTGTACAGTTCCCTTGCCAATATCGCATGTAAGAGGACAGAACATCCCTCGGATAGTTGGACAGCGGTAATGTTAAAGGCAGCACAAGATTCCTGGTCTCGTATTCGCCAACTTGGGAGAGAAAACATTCTTCGCGAGGTGAGCACTGAGGTGGGCGTGCCAAACAAAGACTACTCTAAGAGAGTTTTGAGTGTACTCCTTAGTAAATGGCCTTGCTTGGAGTACTGGTATGAGAGAGAAGGGTTTCTACTGCTACTTCTTGGATTGTTGTCGACCAAGACGGAAGTGGTATCCGACGTGAGAGTGTTGTCCCAGATATTGCTGCGAGTGGTGTTGCCAGCTCTGTTGGACCCTCAGGTTTCTTTACGCGAGGTGGCAGGGAAGCTGATGGTTCAGATTGCCGGGCTAAGCAGAGAACTTGCTGTCTTTATACGAGACTACATGTTGAAAAAACTTGAAATGCCCCTTGAGGAAAAGAAGGAGTTTGTTACCTGTGAGGTTGAAGGCCTTCTTAGCGGTACTGCGATGCTCATGGCTCAATTCCCGAGCATATTCCATAGCGAGTGGTGGAAAAGAATGCAACCCCTTTTTCAGCAACTCGCTATTCATTCTGCTGCTAGCGTTCGTCAACGAGTGGCAGGGTTGTGGGCGTCACGGTCTGTGGAATCCTTTGAAGTGCTGTGCATGGCGATGGTGCGAAAATCAGAATCGCCGTCGGACGGCGATGAATGGTGGAGGATGGTGGAAGTACTTCTCATGGCACTGCAGGAGCAGTTGACACACTTGTTAACCCTTTCTAACAAGGCAGTAGCTGTGGGAGCGAAGGCAAACGGAATTTTCATTGCAGATTCTCTTCACGCATCTTTGCTGTTTGCTGAAATGCCGCAGTTTGAGGTGGCGAGAATGGGAAAACAGCTTGTGCCCCTCCTTACACAATTTTGGGTCCGCTTTTCTTCTTCTCTTGCCTTTGTGGAGGATTGTTGCGGTCCGAGGGCGAGGCGATTCCGCAAATGCGTCCATTTTCCCAGTCTTTTTTTGCCAGAACTCATTTGGTTTCTGGCACTTTGGCGTTATGTGCACTCGCGTGATGGTGTGGAAAAAGTGCGAAAAGCAGTAACAAGGCATTTGATGCCTCTCCTCAGTGGGAAATGGGATGTGTCGTTCAATTCACATGAAACTGAAAAGGGCTTCTCGCAGTCTGAATACTCATTAGCGGTGTTAATGCTATGCACTTATTTCCCCGATTGCTTTACAGATTCGCTGGGCCGGGATCTGATAGAATTTGCCTTGAGCGAGGAGGCGTGGAAGAGGGCGCTTTCAGGAGATATAGACTCGGCAAGATACGGAGTTGATTTCGCCCTTTCCGTGAGAAGTGTTGGCGGGACAGTGGCGCACCTCGTGCCGGTTTGGCTTCAATGGCTCCCTGGCGCCTATGCCCATCAGCAATGCTTGATACTAGAAGCAGTAAAAATTGCCATTGGCTCGCCAAAGCATTGGGTGTCACGCAGACCTTTTTATTTTGTGTATCGTTCGTCCTTTGACGCACCAACGATACAGGACGGAGGGGAAGATGTTTCGCGCGGATTCTATTGGCTCAAACTGTATTGTCCAACCGTGGCCTCCTTGCCGGAAGTAGCATGTTCTGCACTGGGCACTGATCTTTCCGCAGGGGAATTCCCGGTGGAGGTACATGAAGTGGTGTATGAAAGTGTTTACGTCTCGAAGGGAACGGAACACTCTGTATTAAACATCGTGCGATCCCTCATGCAAATGGAGTGCGAGGCAACTCATAAAGCGGAATCCATCGCAGTTGTCTCAGCGGCGGTTATTGCTCGGCTTGAAAATGTCTCTCCGAGCTGGCGCGATGCATTGTCATTTTCTCTTGGCGGGAGTGGTGGTGCGTCTGACACCGTTGTTTGCAACACTGGTGACGGCAGTGACGGGAGGGGCGGTGATTTCGATGATTGGGACGACTCGGATAGCGGCTTCGATGCCGAAGGCATCGCGCTGGAAGTCGAGATTAGAGAAGCCAGAAGCCTTTTGATGGCCATTCTTGAGAATTGTTTTGGCGCGGATGAAGCCAATTTTCTGCGCGCCATGAGACCCACGGAAAGAAAAGCGGTGAAGCTTCTGATGGTAGAGGCCACCGGCGGCGGTAGTCGGGAGAAGAGGTAGCGGATTGCCGTGTGGGTTCGCATCGTTGGGCGGAGAAGAACCCAACAGATAAATTCCTGCCGCGGCACGCGTTCCGCTGTAAACTGGCGCCGCGATGAGACCTCGAACGGTGTTGAAATCACTAACACGTTATTTCTTTCTCCTTCCTTTACTTTTTTCCCGACCTCTTTTTCCTCCATAGGCCGAAAAGTTCATGATACGCCACACCGCCTTGGGTTGGGAGAAGTCCCGGATTCAATTCCCGCTTGGCCCTTTTTTTCCGCCCACGGAGTAGCAGACTTCGGACTCTTCCAGCCGCAAGACGCCGCAGTGTGAGGATCACAAAGTGGGCTGGCGGAACGGCAAAAGCAAAAGCAATTAAAATTGTTTAGATGCTTCCCTGCTTCCGGAACCGCGCCAGTCGACGATTCATAAAATAGGGGCAAACATTCCAATTGTTTTTTGTCTTGGGCCTTTCTGGCGGGATCAGGCGAGGCAAAAAGAAGGAAAAGAAGGGCTGCGGCAACGGTTTCGGGATCAGGAACTGCACCGTGGTGCTTTGCGCCTTGCGCGAAGATTCCTAGCGGGAAGACCGCGTGATACCCCGGAATGTGCCCGACACGCCCTAAACACGTTGCTTTCGTTTTCCAGGGGACAACGCAAATGCGCTCGATTGTTCGAGGAGCAAAAGTAACACTTCGTAAGCTATAAACACATATGTATCCAATCCGAATAGAGCGTTGAACAATTAAGCGAGGAAGGGACGGAAGAATTCTTTAGCAAGATTGCGATCAAAAATTCCCCATTTGGTTTCGAAACTATTTTTACGAGGTTACTTTTTTATTGGGAGCTGTTGTGTGTATCTTCTCGACTATTTAGCTAAGATCAAGTTTTTAAACTGTTCTTATCAGAGTAATTCCTGATATGGGCTTCGTCCCAGGAATAGAAACCGCTGATCTCTCAGGCGTTCTTCCGGAGTTTCGCGTGTCCGGATGGAGCGTCTCCTTTTCCAAAATTGTGTTCGCTTTTTCCTTTTTTTTTGCAAGCCGCAAATAGGCAAAATATCCGTCTGGACCGCAGGCCGGACTCCATCTTTATCTCCGACCAAACATTATAGGTAAGAGGGGCAACGCAGAAGCACGTAGATCCCCCAATGTCTTCTGACAAAATGCGGATTCTGTTGTCCACTCGAGTGCCCTGTTGTACTCGGTTAGGATCTGAAATATTATTATTGACGCGGCTTTTCCTATCCCTCCAGCGATGACGTTGCACCTTGTCGCGGTGTTGGGGCTTTGGTTGCATATAGGAACTCCGCAGCAGGGCGTTGCTGCGAGCACGACGGAGACCAAGGTGACTTCATTCCCCGAGAAAGTTCCACGCCATGCCCGGTGCGGGGAGGTGAGGCGGTCTGCCCGCAGACTGTCGGAAAAAACTGCACGGCCGTTTCGCTGCGGTCACCCCGTTGATATCACCCGTGGCGGTGACGTTCACAAGGACCCTGGCCCGAGGAGGATGGCTTCATCGCTATTTGGCGGCTTAACATTGCAGGCCTCTCGTTCGTAAAAAGATTGCATTGGCGGCGCGATTGGAGCGGCGTCCACCTGACATCGTTCTTCTCCAGGAAATAAGTAACCGTGGTGACGTGGCGACGAAATTATGTGGCTATAATGACTACCTTCAGACCTCACTGGGCGCGGTGGTGGCGTTGCCATTCTGGTGCGCCACTCTCTACCGTGCGAGCGCCTGTCTCTCCCTTGCGCTGACCTCCTGGAGACCATTGCTGTCCGTGTATTTCCGCCGGGCTGTCGCAGCATTTGCATGGCGAATCTCTACAACCCTCCCACGGAAACTGTTCAAGAATCCGCATTTATCAATATCGTTTGTCGCTCATGCCTTGATGCGATTATCGCGGACGACCCGAATTTACATCGTGAACTCTGGGACAGTCATATGTACCATCAAGGACTGGAGGCGATAATTTCGCCGCTGTTCTAATTGATATGGATTTTGGGCTGGCAAATTACCCGACACAGGCAACACGGATCACACATCGTAATGCATTGTCCCCTGACGTGGCTGCGTATTGCGCCCTACGCGTCTCCCACTGGACATTCGCCCCTTACATGGACTCGGACCACTGCTGAATATCTTACTTGGTAGAGATGGACGATGGCACTCCACGACTAGCAAACACGCTGCCTCGACGGAAGAAAGCCACCTTTGCCCTGCGTAAAGCGGGTTGGCCTGGTTTTACATCGTTGTGTGAAACCCTCCCTGCCACTGCGTCCACATGGTTGGATCCTCGCGGAGGCATCTTACGAGCAGCTGAGCGCCACATCCCGCGCGGCAGCCGTGACAGCTCCAAAAAGATATGGACACACGAAATGGAACAGGCCGAGTCCGCCGCCGAAGCAGCACACGAAGCACACACATTGCCTCACCCGGAGACAGCCTACTTTGAGCCGAATGTACCCGAAAAAGGGAGGAGCGAAATCAAGCCTTACGCCGTGGCTCCGCTGTGCTTCTGAAAGCCCGCGCGAAAAGACGTGGAGCCTCACCCAGCCCGAGGTGGCGATATCTTCACGGCATGGCGCCGCCGCACCCTCATCCTCTGGAATCGGTTGTGCTCCGCACTGAACTTGGCCGCGTATGCGCCCTGCCTCGGCAACAGGCAAATCTGCTTGTCCGTCATTTTGTGCGGTTTCACGTGCCATACCGCCTTGTACTGCTGCTGCTCGCTGCACTCCTTTGGTTCCTGGTGGCTGGGAAATGGATCGGCCTTTCCCGCCGTATGTACTTGACGTGGCCATCCGTGACTCTTTGCTTGGCTCAGTCCCTGGCCCCGACGACATGTTGAATGAATTCCTGCACCGTCTCGTGCCCGTCGCGCATGGCACACTTAGAACGATGATCCACAACTCCTTCGCAAACGGCAGCCTGCCTGGCTCCTGGAAAATGGGAGATGCTATTTCTATCCCCAAGCCCGGGAAGGATTCATGCCGCCCAGAGAGTTACAGACCCATCACGCTGCTCTCTGTTTTACTAAAGTTAGCCGAAGGAATGACTCACCACCGTCTGTCGGCGTTATTGCCGCACCACCCACGTCAATTTCGGATTTGCACCTCCGCGTTCTACGTCGGACGTGGTGGCACTTGTTGTCGACAAATTACTCGTGGACTGAATAAGTTTGGCATTGTGGAGCATGAGCGCCCTGGAGACGACGCCCCCACACGACGCCCTCGTCGCCATCGCTCGTAGTTTTGATTGATTTTCCGACTGCGTTCGACACCACTGACCATGGGAAGTTATTCTGCATGCTTGACAGACTTCCGCGCCTTGGCCTCGAACCAAACGCTGGCTGCACAACTACCTGCGGGGCCGCTATGTTGGGGTATGCACTCGCGAACAGCACTCCCGGAAACAACTCGCCTCAGCTGGAGCACCGCAAGGCGGCGTCCCGGGACCCCAACTCTTCCTCTGCTGTGTGGATGGTCTGCTGCGCCGCCTGGGCAACATCTATTCTGCCGCCGCTTTCATGTACGCTGACGAACACACACTTGTTGCCTCATGTGCGGACATCCATGCCTGTGCTGCGGCAATGCGACCGGCACTGTCACCTATAACGACATGGGCTGCCGAGCACAGCCTGAAGATCAGCGCGGACAGGAGCGGGCCGCTCTATTCTGCAACTCCCCACACCGGCGGTCTGACGAGGACACCGCGGACCATCGTCTGTGCGATGGAAACACAAGCTGGAGGTCCCACTCGGTGCGTCTGCCCGGCAATGCGATTGATCGGGACCTCAATTTTGGTGTGCACGCCACCGCCGCTGCAAGGCAGATCGTGCCACGCCGCCATCAGCTGCGTCTGGCGGCAGAGGCGGGCGCGTCCCATCACACCATGCGATCCTTTTTGGTCGCATACGTTCATATTGCGCTGTTTCATGACGGTGGGGCAATTTTCCCGTACCTCGCTCCCGCCTGCCGCCGTATTGCGGAGTTACGGTATCGCTAAAGTGGTAAAGCATCCCTTGGCCCAAGCACACATAAAGAAAATACATCTGTCCACTTGGAATCCAATCTTCTCCCGCTCCGGAAGTCAATTTGGGTCCGTGCAATCACGCAACGCAAATGCTATACACGTCTCCACGACCACGGGGATTTGCGTTCCCTTATCTACTCGGAAACTATGTCGCCTTCCATGCATGGGAAGGCAGCGACATCGACCCCGCTTCCGAAAGACGCCGTTATTACTGAATCACGCCGCGTATGTAACATTATTGGGATACCCCACAACCACAATCGCGCTCCTCCTATTACCCAACATCGAATTTTCCCTGGGACGCTGTGAGCTGCAACAAAGTGGAATTTTATCAGCCACGCTTTGTCAAAGACGCCTCTGACGATATCAAGCGCACGGCTTTTGATTCTTTTTTATTTCCCTAGGAGATTACGATTTTGAATTATGGACGGTTCTTCATCCCTCGCTGAACTCGCACCTGGATCCGCTGCGCTATTATATGACTCCACCACGAAAAATGATCTCCCTGTGGAGGTCCATCGTGCAGCAGCTGGCAGGCTCGCATGCTTATAGAGAGCCGAGCGCCTTGCCATTGAAAATTGGTTTAGACGTCTCATACTTCCTCGTCTGGACAAATCCCAATCGCCCACACGAATAATGGTGGCGACGGACTCCCTTTCGGCAATTGAGGCACTCCGCGTCGTCCCACTGGTCATGCGAGACTGTGCCACTGAAGAGATCTAAATTATGCTGCTTTCCTTGGTGAAGCGAGGTCACCCTGTGGATTCTATATTTTCCCATCACAATGCGGTATTCCACGCGATGAGGCCGCTGACTAAGAAGCCGCGATTGCGCGATACCTCCCGCAAGGGGCGTCCCAATATGGCACGTGGACTTCCACACTGCAGTCAGGTGGCTGTGCTGGAAGGAAGCCCAGGAGGAAGAGGAGGGCAAACACACCGCACTCCAGGCGTTCGTCGGTGCAACAAAAAACACATCCCTGGTGCCAAGCCAAACGTTGTGCCCAGAGAGGCGCCTCCGCTCACAGGCACGATGCTGCTCCTGCCCACTCTTCGGTAGAATCGCATGCGCCCTGCAGATCACAAGCGGCCCTCTGTTTCGGTAGCGCCGCCCCTACCACAATGAAGAGACGGATCCACCCCGACATCCTCCGGAACCCCCGCCTGTCGTGTCGACTGCGTCTTCTCGTCGAACGAAGAGCAGCAGCTTGTTGCCGTTCTGCCAAATCTGTGGCAGAGTCTTCTCGCCCGTGCAGAATATGAAGGCACACGCCCGACGTATTCGCCCTGGCACTCCGCCCGTCGAGAAAGGACTCACATGCGGATTCTGCGACAGCTCCACGGCCCTCCCAACAAGCGCCTCTCGCGCAGATCACCAAAAAAAATGCCGAGCGTATCAACGAGCAAAACACAGAAACCGCAACTCCGCAAGCTCCAATGACAGCCATAGCCCTTCCGCGACTCCTCTACCGCAACCCCAAAAAGCCGCCGACCACCCCGACGGCCCACGGAAGGCCCTGCCGCACACGCTGTGGGGACGCCCTCGTCCTCGACAACTGAGCGCCCGACTATTTGGGAACACACCCTCTCGCACGACAGTGCCGTTCAAGACGGAAAACCGGCCACATCGCTACGGACAGCCCGCAGGCCATTAACGAACAGCGGCCGCGAAGCATAACAAAACAAAAAAAGCGGCAGACTTTGGGGTTCTCCAGCCACAAGACCCCGCCGACCCCCTCGTCAATTCCTGAAGTGCAAAAAAACACGACCGCGTGATATGCCGTCTGCGGGGTTTTCCGAAGACTGTGCGTACGCGAAAGTTGCCCGCACTCCGCGAGAGTCAACAAACATATCCGTTGCAGCTCCCACGTCAAGGCGTGTGATTTTGAGCTGCCTTTATTCGCCGCTCCTTGCGGCGAATTGTTGTCCACCCAAACGTCCATGGTGGATGGCAAGATGG